GAAAAAAAAAAAGAAAAAGAAAAAAAAAAAGAAAGATTAAAAAAAATCAAATAAAATTACAAAGATGTCATTATTTCAATTCCCATGTGCGTACAGGGGGAATATGAATGATAATTCATTTCTCTACATTTCTGAGAATTTATTAATATGTCAAATCTTTTATTTACTGCAAAAATAAATAATATTTTAGTGATTTTGTTTTCAATTTGCGACACTCTGCAATTTTGATAAGCAATAACTCAGCCACAATGAAACACATCCGCTAGTGGCAAGAGCTGCAATGCTAGTGACACTAACTCGAATATACATCGAGGTCGCACAGACAGAAATTCATGTAGAGCGGAGATATCGCGAGTCAATACATGTCAAATGGTCATTTTAACACACGTCACAGGTAGATGGTTAGGAATCGAGTGACTACTGTGGAAAATTGTGTTTCTTGGTGCCAAATAATAAAGAATAACATCTTTCAGCATTATAAATCCAAAATGTGAATATCTTTAAGCGTTATTAAACCTTAGCATTATTAGCGGGCTGTATAATTATGAACTTTTCTTTGTTATAACTGGTTCACATGTAATAAATAAGGTCCATAAAAGAAAAGTAACAGTGTTAATGCTTAATACACTACGAAAGTGATGACGCCACACTTGAAGCAGGTAACCGTGAGGAAGGGGATTACTTTCCAAACAACCTGTGTCGGGTTATAACGTCAAAAAAGGTCATTTTGTTTCCATGTAAACACTGTAACTAACTGTTTAATAGGTAAGTGAGTGTATGTTACTATTCATTGAACCTTTAAGCAGTGAAAAGATGTGTTGGGATGGCTGCAATGTGGTTTAAATCACCAACCATGTGGTGGGTGTGTCAGCCATCCTTAACACTATAATGCTTGCAGTCGGGAGCACAGTACATAACAATATTCAAATGCTCCATGGCAGAAAGAGGAAAAAGAAAACCCTCAGCAGCTGAGTATCATAAACAAAAGGCTGAGAAGGAAAAGGACCAAGCAAAACAGCAGTGACCCTTCCTGAAATATCTTCTCTTTAATCCAAATAAAGATGGAAGCAGTTCACAGCATCCAGATGAAGGAATTTTACTTGGAGGGAGGTTAGCTCACATCCGCATGGAAGCAGTTTGGAACATCAAGATGAAGGTATATTACTTTGAGATGAGAGCAGCTCACATCCACAAAAAAACAGTTTGAAAATTCAAGATGATGGAAACTTACTTCTAGATGAAGGCAGCTCACAGCATCAGACTGATATGGAAGTGGAGAAAATTTATTTACCTTCAGAAATTGAAGTAAATGAAGTAGAAGGAAGAAAGGATGAGGAAGTTACAAACAAGTTACAATATGGGGACCCCAGCTTCATGGCCCAGATGTGATGAGTGTGTGTGGCAAATTCTCATGGAACATGGACCTAAACAAGTTCATGAATTTCCCTTCCTAAGGATGGAAATAAAAGAAAATTCTCTGCTCAGCATTACAAAAGAAAACTCATGAATGTGGAAGAAATTCATCGAAACTGGTTACAATATTCAGTGTTGAAGGACTCTATGTTTTGCTTTTGCTGCAAGTTGTTTAGAAATCAAGCAATTGGTACATCACTTACTGAAAACGGTTCGAAGGACTGGAAAAACATATCATCAATTCTCTCTTCACATGAAAGAAGTACAGAACATTTGGAATGTTTTCAAAATTGGAAAGAACTCGAATTACGATTGAAAAAAGGAAAAACTATCAATGAAGAAAATTTGTGTGTGATCAGGGAAAAAGAAGAATATTGGCAACAAATATTATAGCATCTGATTGCTTTAGTGAGAGTTCTCAGTGGGCAAAATTTAGCATGCCACGGTAGAAATGAAAAATTATACACTCCAGGTAATGGAAACTTTTTAAAATTTGTTGAATACCTAGCTTTGTTTGATCCAGTCATGAAGGAGCATCTACATAAAATAACTGATCATGAAACACAGGTTCATTACTTAGGAAAAATATGCAGAATGATCTGATTCAAATCCTAGCAAATGCCATTAAAAAGAAAATTGTAGAAGCTGCCCATTCTGCAAAATACTTTTCAATAATACTGGACTGTACACCAGATGTGAGTCATGTTGAACAAATGACGATGATCATTCATTTTGTGGATATGGAAAAGTCTGCAGATGAAGACAATATTGAAGTGCTCATAAAGGAACATTTTTTAGGTTTCGTACCACTGAAGGAGACGACTGGAGTATTTATGACTGAAACTATTCGACAAGAGTTTGAAACAATGTCATTATCTGTTGAAAACTTACGTGGCCAAGGCTATAATAATGGGAGTAATAAAAAGGGTAAAGACAATGGTGTGCAAAGGAGAATGATGGAAATAAATCCTAGAGCCTTTTTCATTCCTTGCAGTGTGCATTCTCTGAATTTGGTTGTCAATGAAGCTGTTAGATGCTGTTTGGAGGCAAACAGTTACTTTGACCTGGTGCAACGTGTTTATGTTTTTTTCTGTCTCAACACGCCGTTGTGAGAGAGACACCGGGTTAAAGATGGATTCCAGTTCAGGTGATCACATGTCACTGCAAGACTTCATTGTCCACTTGCCAGCACACAGGTATACAGGAAGACTGACAGGTAAAACACACCCATCTGCAGACAATTGTCCTGGTTAATGGGAGTCATCACGATTCCAAACCACCATTAATGGCCCACACTTTGCATAATTATAATAGGCCCTCAGAGTTATATTTTATATTTCTAGTTTCAGATACAAGAGTGGTACATTTATACAAATAGGATGATCACACTCAGTAGATTATAAGCTTTGTAATGATACCTTACAAGAGACCTTTTGCATGAAGCATATTCCAGTTACATTATATTCACTCATTAGCCTATTTTTATAAAATTATATAGACTGCAATGTCACAAACAGACAACAGCAGGAGCTGCAGAGAGAGAGAGAGAGGAAGAGGAGCCTCTTATGTACCTCTCTAACACCCCCAGGAGCCTGGACTGATTAACACCAACTTCTCCTATTTCCTGCTGCTTCCCTAAACCTACTTGAGGAGAACAGGCAGTCAACTGAAGAAGTAGGAGCCAGTTAGGCCCTTAAGACGCTGATATCTTCCCTCACTCAGGCCCTGCTACCAGCCTGTTTATTTGTCCCCTTCAACTGAGTGTTGAGAGCCACTATAGCTGGCACAGAACTGCAGTCATGAGTGAAAGAAGAAAACGCCCCTCTGGGGCAGCATTTAGAAAAAGAAAGAAAAGCTTCCTTTGCTTTCTATCGAAGCAGGAAGGAGCTCTCCTGAGAT